TTTTACGGAATGACTATGACCTGGATGACTGAGAATCTTCATCAGTATTCAACTTTGCTCATGGTGGATGTTTACCTGACCAATCTGTGAAAATAAGGAATGCTACAGGGACAATATGGAACAACAACTCTAACATATTGTTCATCCATGGCATGAAGAGTTGGTCATTTCTGAGGAATGAAAGAAGTCCAACCAGGTTTTCTTCACTTGATGTATTGTTTATTTATATTCAATAAAATCAGCAAATCAAACCATAAATCTTCACCTCAAAACTACAAACAATGGAAATCCATTATGTTCACAAAACCAGTAATTAAGAGCTAAAATAAAAGCTGTGTTTCATTTAATGTGATCTATAATAGGTCTCTACAGACCAACAAAAGAAACAAATGTTTTAAAATGAATTGATTTGTTTAATTTTTTTAGGAATTGGGAACTTTCCCACAATAAACCATGTGCTACATTTGACAGGAAACGGTTAATTAACATGAATGAATACAGAATGCGATCAATTAAATGCAGGCAAAGGAAAATAAAGTAATAAAAAGGAAGAAACTGTTGAACAATTTTTAAATTCTGACAGTTTGTGAATCTTTTATCATGGTTTTAAACAGTCACACTAATGCCTTCCTGGTTCTTATAGATATTTTAACAATTAATAGAATAAAACAGTCTTTGAAAGATTTAAAATACATTTAAGTTAAAAACCTTTACTTTCAGTTTCAGTTATGTTTCATTGATATTGCACATCACACTGAGAGAACAAGAAACTTCAGGATTTCTTCCTGTAGAACTTCACTCCAGTCATCTTCTTCAGAGAACCAGTTCTTTTCTTCATGAATTCAAAGTCCTGCTCTATGGCCAGTTTTAATTCAGTCTGATGACCCATCAGAGTTCTCCTTAAGCTTTTGTTCTACCTTTGAAGCGGTATGACTGTGGCCCATCCTCTTGAGAGCAAAAATCACATCAGTGGAGGTCACCGTCTTCCTCCCGCAGGACTCGGTGTGGATGATGGAAAAACGTATCAGGGTTTTCAGGAATATCATCAGGATTTTGCGGATCTCTTTGTAACACCCACGAGACAGCCTCTGCACCCGTCCTCGTTGGGCTAAGTGGCGGATGTGGAAATCCTCGATGCTGTTATCGCCATCCTTCCTGCTGGAAGCATTTCTTCTCTTTGCCTTCATCTTGGACTTTTATTGTCTGTTGATCAGTGGAAGTTGAAATGAAAGTGACCTGCAGCCGCTTGCTGTGTGCCTTATAAAGAGATCCACCTTAGTGAACAGCAGCTCCTCCCACATTTGACATTTTATGATTTTATCACATTATATGGTTATTTGCTTATGTCTTGTTTTGTGGGAACCAAAACTGAAAACACATAAACCTGAAGCTTGGCCTTGTTAGTCATTTTCTATGAAAAGGTCCATCAGCCTTAACAGTCATTTGAAACAGCTATGACCTCATGTTTAGTGATAGATGTAAATTTCTTAGTCACAAACCTCCCTACAGCCACCAACATACCTTCAAACTAATTAACTTATGGGGGTAATGGTAATAGTCTGTTTGTTCAACATCAGAATAAAGACCCAGGAAACCATAACTGACCCACAATGCAATCCAAAAATGCTGCTGCTCATGTTCTCACCAAAACTAAGAAAGTAGAGCATTAACTCGGTTCTGGAGTCCTTCCACTGGCTCCCTGTAGCTCAGAGAATAGACTTTAAAATCCTTCTGTTAGTCTAGAAATCACTGAATGGATCAGAGCCTCAACACATAACAGATCTGTTTGTCAGTGGAT